AATGCACCCCCAATGTATTATCTCAAGCGAGATTATGCGACGACTCCTCGTCGCTTGCTCGGTCCGTTGAGCTTTGTGGAGTTATTTTTTTTAGGTACTTCTCAACATGTGTGGTCCGTCGGATATGATTCTCCCTTTGCAGAATCGAAACTTATCCCTCCAAGGTATTTGTCCCGTTGGAGCAACTTCTCTCTTTAAATCCTTCCCTCTAGAAGTGTCAGAGACCACCATCCCCTTGGACTACTCCGTCTTGCTGAACAAATTGTGCATTGTTCTGCCCCCGCAAACGCACTTGCTAGATTGCGGCTCCACGTCAATACAGCCCCCGCTACACCCCTCAAGGCCTAGCAACGTGCTGAACTCGCTGCACACTTCAGCCTCCTATGGATGTATCCTTCTCATATCGAAGAGAATGTTTCTCCATGACGCTGAGTTTCGGTCGCCTTTGGGTGGCCACGAACATTCCATCGTCCGTATACAAGCCCTTGAATGAGTATCAAATTCTTCTAGTTAGCAATTCCCCTCACCTCTGTGAGCTTTGCACAATTCTTTCGGTCGTTGAACAATCCATTCTACCTTGCATGGTCTCCTCCTTTACCAAGCGCCTTGCTTGCCTTGAGCACCATCAAATATGGTTGCCAACGTCGAGTCGTAGTTTGAACTTAGCCATCCTAACCTTTGTGCGCTACGCATTCTTCCAAGCTTTCTTGTCCTCGTGGTGCCTCTTACGCGAAGGGTTGGCCATTCCTCTGAATGCCAATCTCATATGCTCGCTTCTCTGAGCGACTCCTTTTCCCTACATCTCCATGCTCGTTTCCCCCAAACGGCCGCGTGTGCTGGTTGCCCTCAACACAGCCCTGCTAGGTCCCCCACATTTGCATGCCAAGTGTTTCTATGAGTGCTTGTCTCGCTCTGATACCATATGCCATGCACTTAGCTGGTTTTGCCTAAGTCGTGCGGCACCCTTGCATGTCCGTCTGCAAAGGTCAGCCTTCTCGAAACCTCATGTGGTCTCTTAGGACCTACAAAAGAGAAAACGAGTTAGAGAAAGCGTCTCACTTAGGATCCACAAGCAATCATTTCAGCAAACACTTCATAACCAATGCAAATTACAAACAGACTTTACAAGCTCTAAATGGTTGCATAACAAAGGGTCCAAAATGATCCATTATAAATCGAAATCTCTCACAGGTGTCCACATGACATAACCTTTAGTTACAAGTCTAAAACGACCTTTAAACCCAACTAAAATGGGGCTGTTAAGCCTTCGACTGTCCCTCTACATGCTGTGCAAAACATGAACAAACCAAAAGACATGGACATACATAAATATTACATCGAACACCTCGTTTACAATTTTGTCCGTGACAAGTCACTCAAATGCCTCATGCCGCTTGAACTAGGTGGATGCTTGTTAGAGCTTTAACGAGCATCGCCTCACAGACTTTAAAGTTTTTATCTTGATGAGAAGTTCGTTGACCCTAGTCTTATGAAGTTGCATTGCCTCTACATTCGCCACCTCCTCGGCCCTTCATGACCAAACACTTTCTCTCCATGAGAACAAGGGATCGATGACTTCACGGAAGTCCCGCCTCTGCGGTACCATAGTGCTGCTATGCCCGTGGCCCTACTATCTGTCGCCTCGCATCTGCATCCCTTTCTTTACGATCGATAGATCTGCCTCTATGGCACTGTGGCCCTCCTTCGAGTCCACCTGTATTCTAACCGATGCTTGATTTTAGGTAGCTAAGTTCCTCTGACTTGTTGTCGCTTCCCCGCCTCTTTCGACCACCTGCTTTAAGACCTTTGTGTTCTCCGAGTAGTTCTCCTTGGTCGATGGAAAGACAGACTGTAACTCCCATGCATGGCCACCGCCATCATGTTGTAATATTCGCTTGCTCGGCCTTGTCCTTTGACTTGCCGAGCTCCCTTAAGCGAATATGAGCTCTGGAGCCGTCCAACTCTCCAGCCGCTCCGATGATACCTTTGCATGATCAAGTCCCCCAATGGGAACTCCCTGGTACTTACATTCGAAATTCTCCCTCGGTGGTACACAACCCTCATATGCTGATGACCAAGGCTTTTATCCGATGCATGCATGGAAGACTCGCCTCTACGATACCATGACATTCACTCATTAAATCTATAGCCTTTCTTGTCGTCGTGTTCACCGAAGTGGAGTCCTAGTAGCTCTTGATTATACCTCCATATAATCTAGTCTCTCGCGGGACCATTTCGTGTGCATCGCATTGTCACGAACTATTCTATCACGATCTGCTGCACCATGTCGCCTCCTAGTGATATCTCTGTTACATTCTGATCATTGTGGGATGACCTCGGATTGCGATCCTTCCATGTGTGGCCTCTGCCAACACATCGCAAGGCCTCTTCCACTTCGATTCTGATCACTTTAGCAATCGACCTTCGTCCACCAGCTCTCGGGTCACACCTAGACGAAGCACAGCTCTAGGACAGTTCGTCGCTTGCACTTAGTAGCTCCCGAAGTCCATCAATTACGCTGAAATTGGTGCACCGTTGTTTGGATCCTGGGCCTTTGCATCCACCAGCACAATCTCCGCTACGCACCTGTTCCTTCATGGCAACTTGAATGATAGCATTGTGGTGTATTCTTTAAGAGTACCCGCCTCTGCGTCCTTTTGTCCCGTGCCAAGGCCTTCTGAACTTAACTTCGCCTCCGCAAGTTGAGTCACCTTGGTTCCTTCATCAAATGCTTCTCTGAGATAGGGTGCATATGCCTCGAAGCTCCCGTTGTCTTTGGCACCATGTAGGATTAGTCCACTCCATCAGAATGAAGGACCCATGGAACGACATGATCTCGCTCTTGCCTCTACAAGAGTTCATGTCCTTGACCTTTGTTCAAGGAAAGCTTCGTGCCTTCGCTCTATGTTCCATCTTCTATGTCGACTCTCTTCATGTTGACTTGGGTACTTTACCAAGTTACACCCAAGTTGCTCCGCTCCTCGATTTGCATTGAGTTGATGGTGGCTCTCGTGCCCACCATTGCACGGGTCAACCCTACATTGAGTCCGATCTCCATATCGGCTCCAAGTATGCTTTCATTTTGTGTTGACTTGGGTCACTCCCCTACTTGATCTCACACTACATCCACCAATGCATTACCTCAGGTGAGATCATGCGATGACTCCTCACTACTTGCTCGGTCCGTTGAGCTTTGTGGAGTTATTGTCTTGAGGTACTTCTCAACATGTGCGGTCCGTTGCATATGATTCTCTTTCTGGAGAACCGGGACTTATTCCTCCAAGGTATCTGTCTCATTGGAGCAACTTCTCTCTTCACATCCTTCCCTTTGTAAGTTTCGGAGGCCATCATCCCCTTGGACTACTCTGCCTTGCTAAATAAGTTGTGCATTGTTCTGCCCTCGTAAATGCACTTGCTAGATTGGGACTCCTCGCTAATACAACCCCTGTTGCACCCCTCAAGGCTTAACAATATGCTGAACACGTTGCACACTTTAGCCTCTTACGGACGTATTTTTCTCATGCCAAAGAGAAAGTTTTAATGCTCCATGGCATTGAGTTTCGGTCGCCATGGGATGGGCACGAACATTCCATCGTCCGCATACAAGTTCTTGAATGAATATCGAATTCTTCGAGTTAGCAATTCCTCTCACCTTAGTGAGCTTTGCACAACTCTTTCCACTTTGCATGGTCTCATCCTTTACCAAGCGCCTCGCTTGCCTTGAGCACTATCAAGTATGATTGCCAATGTCGAGCTGTAGCTTGAATTCAGCCATTCCAACCTTTGTGCACTACGTATTCTTCCTAGTTTGCTTGTCCTCGTGGTGTCTCTTACGCGAAGGGTTGGCAATTCCTCTGAATGCCAATCTCAGATGCTCGTTCTTCTGAGCAACTTTTTTTCCCTACATCTCCATGCTCGTTTCCCCCAAACGGTCGCTCGTGCTGGCTGCCCTCAATGCAACCCCGCTAGGTCCCCCACGTTTTCTTGTCAAGTGTTTTTATGTGTGCTTGTCCCACTCTGATACCAGATGTCATGCACTTAGCTAGTTTTGCCTAAGTCGTGCGGTATCCTTGCATGTCCGTCCGCAAAGGTCAGCCTCCCTGAAACCTTCTATGGTCCCTTAGGACCTACAAAAGAGAAAACAGGTTAGAGAAAACGTCTCACTCGGGATCCACAAGTAATCATTTTAGCAAATATTTTATAGCCAATACAAATTATAAACAGACTTCACAAGCTCTGAATGATCGCATAACAAAGGGTCTAAAATAGTCCATTACAGACTGAGATCCCCACAAGTGCTCACATAACACAACCTTTATTTGTAAGCTTAGGACAGCTACTAAAACCAAAGGAAATGGGGCTGCTAAGCCTTCTGTTAGCCTTTTACATGCTGTGCAAAGCATGAACAAAACCGAAAGACACAGACATACATAAGCATTACACCAAACACCCTGTTTATAGTTTTGTCCATGACAACGTGAGGAGAAGAAACCTCGTTTTCTTCTCCCCGCGAATCAAATCGTTGAACCATTGTATAAATAAAAGTTTTTTCTGCTTGGGTCCAGCACCTCCTAAAGCTTTTACATAATCTTGCTGGTCAGCAGTACATCCTAGCAAGGAACTGGTGTGCCCAGTAAATGAATTAAGTAAAATTTTTACAGTGATAATTTCTGTAAATAATGAAAGGGAGCTGATTGGTGTGACTATATTATGTAAACTGTAGTTGTATTTGTCTTTTATTTTTCTGATTGATGTTTAATTGGATTTTACTTTTTCTTTTTTGTTCTCTTTATATGTCATGCTTGATTCTTTTGCAACCATCTCAAATAAATGACATGATTCTTATTTCAATATGAAATTGATGTACTGTAATGTCTTAGAAAAATAATAAAAAACAGAAGAATGTGTTCTCACTATTTTTGGGAGTTACTTCTTGAGATACTAGATGCTTTTAGCAATCTCATGCAACTTTTGTACTCTGTCCTTATTTATTTTAATAGGGAAGTGCAGCAGATGTTGCCATGTGCGCGATGCTCGAGATAGACAGGAACATTTGTCTGAAGGAGCTTGGATGGAAACTCGTGCTGCAGGTTCATATCATATACAAATTTTGAGTTTTCAAATATGAATCAATCACTTAATGGGACATAAAAACAAATTTCCTTATGATTTAGCCAATCCCTCGAGATTGTAATATCTTAGTTTGCTTTTCCTAGGATGGCACTAGTCCTCTGCAACTTCTTATCAACTCACTCAAAGCCCTCCAACACAGTCATCCAATAACCGGTGGTCATAGTCATGTGCAGGATCTCTTTTTTCTTGGAAATTTTTGTCATGCCTGTGTCAGCCTGATGAGAATGCCATAGAAAAAGCTTTTGTTCTCATGTCTTAATTTTCATTTCTTGGTCCTAACCCATGCCTCCATGCCTTTCCTTAAGTTGGGTGCTGTAATGGTTCTATATATAGCATGCATTATTAAGAAGATGCTGGATTTTTCTTGCCTGATTATGTATTTTCTAGATCATTGCTCGTATCTTTTATGATAAACAGGAAAGTTTGCTTAACAATATATTACTGGAAAACCAGGTTCATGATGAAATGATACTGGAAGGCCCTACGGAGTCGGCCGAGCTTGCCAAGGCCATAGTTGTTGAGTGCATGTCCAAACCTTTCTACGGCACAAACTTTCTTAAGGTCGATCTTGCTGTGGATGCAAAGTGTGCCCAGAACTGGTATGCAGCCAAGTAACAAATGAGCGCCAGGTATCAGAACCTGAATTTGATCCATGAACCCAATCTGAAGACTAGTGCACATGCTACGAGACAGCGGTCAAGGCTTCAGCAATTCTGAGCCAGGTATTGGCAAGACAATGTAGGAGGTTCACGGGCAGGAACCATTAGCGAAACGATGGCTTTGCCTCATTTGTACGTTGGTGTTGGTGTTGCCTTAATTTCTCTAGATTTTGTGTAAGTTGTGTATTTGTAAGTTGAAATACATATTGTTAGAGGAGGTTCTGGGACAAATTACAATTTTTGTGATAGTTTGTTCAGTGATCCATTGATCTTATGAAAATTCCAATGCTTTTTTTGTGCTGATGTCGGCATCAGATGGATGCTCATGGATTCTTGTTTGGAGTTTGGGGAAGGTGGATTATATCAACAATGCATTTCCCATGCTTAGCCAGACTTCAGCATAATTTTATCTATACTTTCTTGCTGAGAATGAATCAAAACTTGTTCCTGTTTGAGCTAGCCCTAGGAAATTTACCAAAGGATAATTTTGGCAACTCTTGCTGAGACTTCAAAGTTCAGACCTTTATTTATAGTTCCAATAGGAGATAACAAGCTTGATTTTTCTGATGTGGGACTATGGGACTTGCCAAACTAACAAATCTCCACCTTGATATGTCCTAACAAAACTTGCTCCACCTTCTTCACAAAAGCCCCAACGGGCAATCACCAATAATGAACACCAATCAAGTTCAAGCACTATTTGAACTTGTAAACCGGAAGAGGCTTCGTAAGCATATCAACTGAATTGTCCTTCGTATGAATTTTCTGAACAAGGACCTTTCCCTCAGCAATAGTATCCCATTTTTATCCAACAATTTTCTTACCCGAAGGCGGCTTCACAAGATCCCAAGTTCTATTCCGATGGAGAGATTCAATTTCTTCATTCATCGCAATCAATCACTTAGCGGAATTATCACAAGAAACTACATCTGAGTAGGAAGTAGGCTCACCAACTTCACTTGTTTCTTTTGCAACAGACAAAGCATATGCAACCAAATTTGTATATCTTTGTGGTGGTCGAATATCTCTCCGTGGTCTATCCTTGGCTATTGAATATTGCTCTTCATTTGGATCATCTACGTCAGTAGACTCGGGATCATCTACTGATATTCTTTGAGTAGAAGAGTTAAACTAAAAAGAATCTGAACTACCAATCTTAAGCTCCACCTGCTTCTGCGCACTATCATTTGTACAACTAATAGATTCTTCTTTAGAAGATAACATAGACAATTCGTTAAAAGTAACATCTCTACTGATTATAAATTTTGGGGATTTGTGATCAGAACACCATAATC